CTTACGAGAATGGTAAATGAGCACAAAGACGAACTACGTAGCGACGGTAGTGTTTTGTTTTGTAAAAGCTGTGATAGAAACCTAAACGCGTCTAGGACCTTCCAAGTAACACAGCATTTTTCTACTGCGAGACATCAAAAACAATCAAAAGCTCGACTAGGAAGATTTTATTAAAAGAATGCACAGAAAAATCTCCACATCCGTTTTCTATGGACTTGTGTAAAATGTTTTTAAAATCGAACATTCCACTTAAAAAAATATCTGATCCTCATCTGGTTCAGTTTTTGCAAAATTATACAAATCAGATCATTCCATCTGAAAGTACACTTCGTCAAAGATATGTGCCGTTGTTATATGGCGAATGCATAGAAATGATACGTAAAAAGGCTCGCAATAAAAACATTTGGATTTCCATTGACGAGACTATAGATACGGAACAACGACTGATAGCATATTTTATATTTGGTATACTGGATGTGGACGACGTGGAGGAAAAAGATAAATCATATTTACTGAATGTGTGCGAAGTAGATGCAGCAAACGCCACCAATATTGCAGCGTTCGTTAACGACTCCTTAATTATATTGTGGCCTGAAGGTTTGCTCTTTTTATTTATGTATTTTAACACGTGTTTATATTTTAAGTCCTTTTTTCATTGCAGGAATTGAATACGACCACGTTCTGGTTGCAATAACCGATGCGGCGCCATATATGGTTGCTGCAATGAGATCTTTGAAGACTTTGTTTTACAAGATGCTTCATATATATATGTTTTGCACATGGCCTTCACCGTGTTGGCGAATTTATTCGTAGCGAATACGAAGACGTCAATAAGCTTATCGTGCATAAAATCAATTTTCGTAAAGGTAAAATCTTTACATGTCAATGGTAATATTTACAATAACTTCTTAACACCTTTCTTAGGCACCATCGCGCCGAAAGAAATTTAAAACAACGTATCCTCAACTACCATTACCACCAATGCCATCAACAACACGTTGGAGCACATGGTTGAAGGCAGCCGAATATTACAACGAGAACTTTTTTGAAATAAAATGCTTGGTAGAGAGCTTGAGTGATGAAGACAACGAATCGATTCGCATCGCTAAAAATTTGCTTGCAAGTGATACAATTGTTAGTGACTTAGCCTTTATAAAATCAAATTTTGCTGTAATTCATCGCTCTCTAGAGTGGTGGTCCCTAGAGACCAAAGGATTGTGTTTGAAAAACAGCCTCAAAGAGGTGAAAAATGTGAAGAAATCATTAAAGCAGTTAGACAATAGGGCATTTTTAAACAAATTTGAAGCTGTTTTTGCACGTAATGTAGGATTTAAAGATATACAAGTCATTGAAAAGTTGTTGTTCACGAGCAAGAAACTTTCTTCTGAATATGTAACTAAACTTACTCCAAGTGAGTTGGCAAATTTCAAATACTGTCCTGTAACATCATGCAATGTAGAGCGTATCTTCTCAGCATACTCTTTGATCCTTACTGAAAGGCGTAGGAAATTTACTCTTGAAAATTTAAAACAACACATGATTGTATACTGCAATTACCAAAATGATGTTGAAGAGGACATGTAAAGATTTTGTTTTGATAAGCATAAATACATACATATATATGGAAAATTCCATGTCGACTGAATTATGACTGCGATCAAAAATTGGTTTCTAAATTTTTATTTTCTTTTGTTAGGTTGACTTGGAATTTTCATATACATATATGCCTTTTTCAGTACCACTTACGAAAATTCCATAAATTCTATATACAGGAGCTCATTCAAGTGTTCACATGTTGAGTTTTTTTAATATCTATAATGTTTTTCAAGTTAAAATTTTTTTGTTATTGTTTAAAAAAAATATTTTTCATGCTTTAACCAAAACTTATAAATCAATTTTTCAAACTTAATACAAACTTTAGATAAATTCAACACATTTTCACAAAAATTTCGAACTTTTGAATCTGAATCTTAGGACATTTTTGGGTATGCAGTTTTATAGCCCAAAAAGTGTTAGTATAATAAAGTGCAAGTTTAAAGGGGCTAAAAATCGCGTTTATTTTTAAATTTTTTTTTATATAACGAGTGCATTCTATAAAATCTGGCGTTGATTTTTTGAAATTTCTTTGCGAACGATCTTGCGCATTTTACTTCAAATTAAATTCATGTTTATATGGAAAAAAGTACACAAATTCCACAGCAAAAAAAAGTCTTTAACAATCCAGTAAATTTTTTAGCACCTTGAAACTTGCACTTTATTAGACTAACATTATTGTTAAGATTAAGAATCAAAAGTTCGAAATTTTGGTGAACATTTGTTGAATTTATCTTTAAAAAAATCTAAGTCAACCTAAAAAAATAAAATAAAAATTTAGAATACAATTTTTGATCGCAGTCATAATTCACATGGAATTTTTCACGTATACATATGTACATACATATGCATGTAAGTTTTTTCCAGTAAAAATTTCTTTTTTCTCGGAGCTCCCTGAGTGAAATTTTCGTACTAAATTTTGATATAAACGTTATTTTTGTGGGTTTTCCAGCATTCCTCATCCTCCCCTAATATGTACATAGTACTTGTGAATTTAAAAAGTGTGCAATACACTGAATGAATTTTTAGCTTTTTCGTTCTGTTTTTTGTAATACACAATTTGTAGTATATTCACTTTTATTGTTTAAGTTTTGTTGCTCACGCTTTAAATTAGTTAGTAACTAAAATCAGAGGCTTAATGCGAAAGGTATTGTAAAACTGACACCGAAATAAATGGATTTTGTTCTGGAACAGTAAATAACATTGTCTTTCTTTTAAGCAAAATTAAGGAATTTTATTGTGCATATATATATTTTTTTATTGAGCATATTTCGCTGATTTTTGTGATTATTTTAAGCGCATAAAACGGGATTTTTCGCGCATATTTTTATCTTCTCGAGTTATCACATACCTAACTCAAGAACGGCTCAACGGATTTGCTTCGCTTTTCTGTCTTTCGGTCTGTCTGTAGAAGGAATGTAAAGAAAAAATTGGAAAAACGGTGTTGTCAGATATCTGAAGTATTAAAAAAAAATTTAATTCAAATAAGTCGCAATAATGTTATTTCACTGAGATTATATAAACAAATTTAAAACAAAAACCTTGAATAGTGTTGCCACCATTCGAAAAAAATCTTTATATATAAAAATTAGTTGCTGTCGTGTGTTATCACATACCTAACTCGAGAACAGCTCAACAGATTTGCTTCGTTTTTATTTAATTTTGTTTCTTTCTGTCTATAGAAGGTTTGTAACGAAGAAAGTGGAAATATCAAAAAAAAAATTAAATTTACATAAGCCGCAATAACGCTACTTCACTGAGAATGCATAAACAAACTTAACACAAAAAAAAATTGAATAGGGTTGGCGCCACTCGAAAAAAATCTTTACATATAAAATTGAATTGCTGTTCGTGCGTTATCGCATAACTCAAGAACGGCTCAACGGATTTGCTTCGTTTTTATTTGATTTTGTTTCCCCGTCTGTAAAAGGTTTGTAAAGAAAAAAATTAAAAATCGGTGTTGCCAGATATCTGAAGTATAAACAAAAATGAAATTTAAAAAAGCCGCAATAACTATATTTCACTGAGAACGCATAAAAAATTTAATATAGAAAAAAATTTGGATAAGGTTGCCACCATTCGAAAAAATCTTTATATATGAAAATGTATTGCTGTATCAAAAAAAATGTAATTCAAATAAGCCGCAATAATGCTACTATACTGTGAATGTACGAAAACATTTCAGACAGAAACAAATTTGCATAGGGTTGACAGCATTCGAATAAGATCTCATGTCACGGCGTTTGTGGTCAACTCCTCCGAAACGGCTTGACCGATTTTTATGAAATTTTTTGTGTATATTTAGAAAAATATATGAAATCAATCGCATACTGGAAAAAATGAATGTTTTTGGAAAACCGAATTTTTCATGCAGCATATTTCTGGAAGTGTTCATCGTAGGGTACTGGGTCTTGGTATGAAGATATATAAAATCAATCGCGTAGCTATGAAGAAAAATTGGAGCTATATGGAAAATGGGGGCTGGAAACAGGTCGTAAAGTATAGCACAGCGCTAAGTGAAGAAGGCGTGGCACCTCCTCCGCATCAAGCACCTGCTTGCCCGCGCTACTGCGCGCGAGCTGTTCTGCCGCCCATCCCTACCTTAGGATAATAGCGTAAGGTTGCCACTTATTTTCGATTCTGCACAATTTAGCTAAAACAACGCAATATGGTTATCAAATAAAAGGTATTGTTGAGAACTTTGGTCAGAAAATATTTTCGATCAGGGTTGCCACACTTCTATGTAATAAA